TTGATGCCTTTAAGCTATGGTGCTGGAGAAGAGCACTGAACATCCCATGGATGGTCAAGAGAATGAACAGATATGTCTTGGAGAGGGTGCAGTGGGAGTACTCATTGGAGGCATGAATGATGAGGCTTTGCCTCGCATACTTTGGACATGTTACTAGAAGGTGCTTTTCCTCACAGAGGGACATAATGTTGGGAAGGGTGAAGGGTCAGAGAAGGAAAGGAACACCCTCAACTAGGTAGTTTGACAAGGTGACTGCGGCAATGGGCTCTTGTGTGTCAGGAAGTATGAGGATGATACAGGACAGGACTGGGTTCAGATAGTTTGTTCATAGAATCGCTGAGTTGTATTCGACTCGATGGCACCTACCAGCAATAATAGGAGCTGTGATGGCCTAGTGATTTAGGAGTTGTATTGCTAACCCAAAGGTAAGTGGTTTGAATTTACCAGCTGCTCTATGAGAGGAATATAAACAAATTCCTCCTGTGTGGTTTATTATCTTTGAAAATTTGCTGGATGATCAGCTACGAGATAGTTCTCACTTGATGGCAATGTGTTGTGTTTTGGGGTTTTTTTTTTACATTTTTTAATTAAATTTTTTAATCTCCCCCTTGTTGTGTACCAGCAAATCAGATCTGACTGGCACAGGAGGAAATTTTTCCTCCTGCTCAAGTAGAGCATCTGGTGGATTCGAACCACGTGCCTTTGGGATTGCAGTACAACTTCTTGCCATTAAGCCACCAGAGCTCCCTGGCAATGTGATTTTGAGTTAGATCATACAGTATGTAGCATATCAGATTGTTAATAAAAATGTCAGCAGTTCAAATCCAGCTACTTCTCTGTGAGAGAAAAATGGGTGGCTCTTCCTTGAAGATTTACAACTTAGAAAGTCATTGGAGAGTCTCTGAGTTAGAACAGACTCAATGGTAGTTGTTGTTGAGCACTGTTAAGTAAAATCCAATCCATAGCTGATCTTGTAGAGGGTTTTCAGAGACAATTCATTGGACAGGAGGAGATTGCCCATCTTTCTTCCACAGAGCAACTGATGGAGTTGAACCATGTGTCTTTGGGTTGACAGCACAACTCCACCAGAGCTCCCTATCTAACAGCACTGGGCTTACTATTTAAGTCAATGTGTAGATATACTGCCCCTTTTGAAATACATTTGATATAAAACCACTAAGACATTTACCCCACCCCACTTCTTATAAGTTGGGTTTGTTTGGTTTTAGGGTTCTTTTTGTTCTTTTTTTTTTTTTTCATTTTTAAATGCAGTCTCTGGTAGTGGTATGACTAAAGGTACATTGTGTTTTTGTTGTTTTGGTTTTTTTTTAAAATTTATTTTATTTTATTATTTTGT